ACCAAGCTGATCCATTGCGCTTAGGTGAGTCGCCATATTAACCGGTTGAAGGCGGCCTACGAAACGCCATCGCCTCATTTTGTCGTGTGAATATCGTAAGAGGCTATAGAAAACACCACAAAGACCATTTGGCTTCTGATAGATGGCGGTATATTAGTATTTTCTATAGGTGACAAGCAAGCTCACAGTCCTCCCGATGGTAAGTGAATGCTGTGGCCCATAGAAATCTTTATTTCTACTCTTATGTCTATAGACAGACATCTGTCCTCGATTAAGAATCAAAATACAGATTCGTTCCCGACCCTAAGGACTAACATGGAATATCTCGTTTCGAGTAAAAAGGGTCTCCGGTTCTCTATATTTACCGTACGAAACATATAAGCATTGAGCTGCTGTTTTACGCTGACATTTTGTGAGGGCGTGGTCCTTTCCTGGTCAAGCCGATCCATTCGTGCTACAACTATAATGTAGCTGCAGCATGGATTTACTACCAAGATCATCATTCAGCTCTGCTATACCACACAATTTGACAAGAGATCTTCATTCAGGCCTTAGCTTACGGTGTTTTTTTAAAAGATTGAAGTGACGAACAAACTTAAAGTCCTGATGGTAAGTGGTTACTGCCTCATCAACCTCAAACGAAAAAGGAAACAGATACGTTGTCAATTTTGAGGACTAAGATGGAAAGCCTCAAAACCTGTAATTATGGTAGCTCTCTTTACCGTTCAGGTTAGAGAAATAGATAAGGTGGTGTTACTTACAAGTTTTCTGCCTAAAACCCAGAAGAGTTTCTTAGCAGATAAGATTGCTACCATCTAATTATTATACTGGTCATTTGACCAGAAGTGAATTTAAAAGAGAATAACGAAGTGATGCGATGTTGATTTTATGGTATGTGGTTATTAAATGCTCGTTGAATAGTATCACCGCACTAACTTTATGTTATAAAGGTTTTTGCAACCCTAATACAGTACGATTTACAATCAAATGCGTCATTATCGCTTACCGTCTTAATATTGGCTAGATATTATCATGGACTGGCTTATAAAATAGTAAAAAAATCATTTTAAATAACTAACAGTGTCTCTAAGGAATTTACAAATTACATGATATTAAAAGTTATTACAGCAGTTCCGGACAGTCGTTAAAAATTTTTAACGAGGGCATTCAAATAAGGAACGTCTTTACCGCATCGCCGTTGTAGTTAAACTTTGCACTTTTAATGAAACATGTGTTACATAATATACTTCTTTTGATATTAAATGAAAAGGAAAATAATTTAAAATTTTATTGAATGTAGAAAAGTGAGTACAAAGTCCACATGTAGATCGTATACGGATATTGAAATTCATAGACATTTACATCTGTCCTCGATTAAGAATCAAAATGCAAACATGTTTTAACCCCTAAGGTTTAAAATTGAATTCTTCTTTTCCAGTAAAAAGGCTCTCCCGCTCTCTATACTTATCATACAAGACATAGTGGCATTAAGCTGTTATTTCACGTGCTCCTACGCGGGTTTAGCCAATTCGTGCCGCAACCAATATACCTGCAATATGGTTCTACAACGTACTCTATGATAACGATTTAACGATAAGAATATAACGCCTTAACGATTATAAAAATTGGATAAAACTATACCTATACTTATGTATTTCATATAACGTAAAAATCGCCATGGTTAGCCGTAGAAACTACGACTGAATATAGGCGTCTCTAGTCCTTAATATTCACGCATTGACACTAGACGATGTGACGAATTGGTAAGACACGTAGGAAGTCAATGGATGCAGGTGACTCAAGTTAGTAGTATTATTCCTGTAGTAGCATTCCTGGGATGCTTATGTAGCTGTGGACTTGTGAAGCGTTGTGATAATTAAAAAAAAATTGTTATTATTGTCGAACTCGCTGTAGGATGTAAATTAATATTTAAAAGCTTTGGATTTAGACACATTTATTAAAATCTTAAAATCTCACGCCACTTAAGCTATTCCATCGCAAGTCAATTTATTTATCGCAATTGATTTAAAAATAACCATCGGGTAATACGTATATATTATCAAGTTAGATCTAATTTTTTGGTTCACATCAATGATATTGAATTTTATTGACGAACTCAAGCAGACCGTCGTTATACCCGTACGTGAGATCCAAAAATCAATAATTCCTGTATTGCCTTAAAATAATAACTCCGACAGGTATTAAAAGCTTGGTATAAACCTTGTAAAAAAACCAACAAATAAAATTGTAACACCATGATAGTAAGAAATAAATAGAATTTCATTTAGCCCAGACGTCACACTTTCATGATTTATGATGGTTTAAACAAACTGTGGGAAAGAAATGGCACAGAGTTCGTTCAAGAAACAATCACTGAGTTTCCTTTCATTTTGACTGTCATTCATTTGACAGGTAAACAATTTTGTTTTTCTTTCATCAACTGTTTATACAATCTTTTGGAATGAAAAATAAACATGGATGTTAGTTCTTTTTTTTTTCCTTTAAATACGTTACGTCCATGGATTTCCTCCTGTATAATGGAGACAGTTTACACACATAAATTTCGCAAGCACAATCATCCAGATTTGGAACAATGATTTGTAGACCTTTAGCACTGCAAATCGTTGCTAAGCTACTGCGCCATGGAACCATTACTCCGTGGTGCAGAGGTCATGGAAGGTATTTTCAAGACTGGCAAGTATAACTTGAAATGTGTGTCCATACTCAATAAACAGAACCATTACTAATTATAGTAGAAAGTAGTACTAAAAGGTTAGGGGAGTGCTCAGAGAAATTGTTCGGAATAATTCCTATCGCTAAATTTCACTATCACCACCGAACATTGTGACCATATTTTTTATACCATCCACATTATTTGGATACTTGGCAATTGACCGTTGTATCATACTATACTATACTAAGTTTTTTTCCTAGGACGACATTTTCGTGGCTTCAGCTCACGTCAACAACTTTCACAGATCGATAAGACTAAGGTACCTTTATGAAAAGGGCATACTCCTCTTTAAAAGTCTGCACCTGCAATTACCTTTGTCTTACAACTGTTAATGTACTGTACAACTGGGTGGCTTTAGTCACAATATCAGGTGAGCCTCATACTCATTTCGTTTTCCTTTATTTATTTTTCTAAATATTACTAATGCTATTAAGATAGCTATTATTCCCTTAACCACTCCTTGTAAGCTTAAAATGCTTGTGTTAGGAGTGGTCGAAGACACTAGTCGAATGGTGGATTCAGGCCCATGACATATTGAATTCGCAGTCCGCACCCTGTCATTGGGCTACCTTCGCATCAACTGCTCCTCACCTACAAAAATGTTAAGGTGACCATCACACATAAAGTCTGGGCAGACTTTATGTGGGTTTGGTTAACTATTAGGTAATAGTAAAACTGTGGTTCATAACTAAAACACTTTTACCTGAATACTACCTGAAGACAACATTAATAAAAACGAAATCATTACATTTTGCTTATTTGGTGGCTTCTATGGCAATGCAACGTCAGCATTATTGCTATCTTATCGGTATTGACATCTTGTAAATTTCTTGCACTACCGATGCAGAATATCGAAGTCTATTGCAGGACATAGGCCTCCTCATAGGCTACCTCGTAGGGGGGGGGATATTTGCAATAGTTTCAATGCTTGGCAGACCAGTTTATTTTCCTCTGTCACCCCTTGCGACATCAACGGAATGATATGGGGTATTGGGTTAGCTCAGCCAAGGACTTAGCTACCCAGATATCTACTCCTATTAGGCAGCGTAATGATCAGAAAATGAGACAAAAGAGGTAATATCTAGCAGCTATAATAATTTTAATAATTTAGAATGTAGCTTACAACTTCTTAATAATTGCAATTGTGTGACTCCACAAAATGATAATAAATATTGCTTACACCTGATACATCAAAATATACAAGTCATGATAGGCATAGAGCTAGAAATTGAATTGTTCCTAAATAGTTACAATATTCATATTTTATGTATTAGTGAACATTGCTTGAAAGCTTATAACTTAATGTTTAACTTCAGTAATCAACAGGTGGTCAATTCTTCCAAAAGAGAAATGGTTTTAAGAGGATGTAAGGATGACTTAATTTTAGCTAGTAAGTTATTGTCATATCAAAAACATAAAGATATTGCGAGTTTCTCTGTTAAGCAGACTGTAGAAATGGTATGTGTTGAGTTTGAGCACCTCATTGTTGTCAGCGTCTACACACCCCATGTTCTAAATAAGATACTTTTGAAAAAAATATGGAGGAAGTTTTTTTTAGCTTATATAGCCTCCTAAGGCCCAAAGTCCTTTTTAAAGGAATAAATAATATGTGTGTTCAGACCCAGCATCAAGTATAGTTACTTCTTCATGCAGGCCCAAGTCCTTTAAAAAGGTTCAATTTTAAAATCACGTTTTTCGAATTCAAATGGACCGCCAAATAAATATTTGACATTTAAGACGAACCTGGAAGACCTATTTAATCTGTTACCGGAAGTCGTAATTATTGGTTTAAAAATTGACCTCGTGACGCCATTTCTTTTTCGACACGATGGCTGACTTTAGGAGATGGAGTAAATCTAGTAAATCTTTCTTTATCCTTGTGATCAGTCATATCAGCACGGTTTCGTATACAAAAATATGTGTGGCTATATGTTTTCCGTAATTATATTAAATACTTTTTTCATTTTACTATCGAAAATGATGCAATTAATTAAAACAAACTTTTTGATACTTTAAAAAGTACCGCGGGCTTTTATACCAAAATACCATATTATTTTAGACCTATACAAAGGTTTTTGGGTTATTGTGTTTACTTAAGATGAAGTGCACGTTAAATTAATAAGTTAAACTAAAATACTTTTTTGAAAATTTATTTAGGTAGGTACCAAATATAATTGTTGTTTTTAGTCTATATTTAATTAACAAAAAAAACTTTCTTTTTTTCAGGAGTAAATGACCAACAAATAGTTGATTTAAAAAGTTGTTGATGCTTGTTGATGAAGTTGATGATGGGCTGATGGCAGGCATTTCTAGTGTGTTGTCACGAGATAAAGATTTGTCAGATTCAGGGTCCTCGAGTGTCAAGAGATCGGAATTGGAATCAAGTGATTCAGATTCTCAGTCTGAACTTTCCGACAAAGATATGACTCCCGCACCTTCATTACAAAGAAAAGGACGAGATCGTGGTATGCAACAACGTGGAGCCATGCGACGTTCACGCGAAATTACATCGCGAAGGCTAACCAATAATAGTAACGTGCCAGCGTCATCTTCATCTGATGTGAGACATTGAGAGTGGTCAATGAAGAATTTTAATCCGCGTTATTTCTCGTATAAAACCCTCATATCCACCGATTGATGCAGATTCATTTACCGATAAATTTGATTACTTTAAGCTCTATATCGATGACGAAATAATGAAGCTAATAGTAATGAAAACTAATCAAACTTTCTTATCAAAAAATGGCAAGTGCCTTGGTCTCACTACCAATGAATTGCATATATCTATATATTGGCATAACTTTAGCCATGTTATGCATTCAGTATCTTCTTGTGAAAAGTATTATTATTTAAATAAATAGTAATAAATGTTGATTTTCTTCATAAAAATTGTGTTTTTATTTATATCGTTACAACCCAAATTCCTACAGATAGTGTAAATTTTTGGTACCTACTTACCTAATATTAACCCAAAGGCCTTTACAAAGAACCCAAGATATGAGATCTATACTTTACAAATGGGTCCTTTGGTAAGTTGTAAAGACACTAATAAACTATATTTAAAACAAAAACTGCAACAAAAGAAAACAGTGCATCTTTTTGTTTGGGTCTGAACATCAATAAAATTTGTTCCGTTTAAAAGGATCTTCGGGTCGTAATCTAAACTATGCAAAAATTTTCTTGGGCCTTACGAGGATAGAATAAATTTGTTGTAATCTGTGGAGACTTTAATATCATTATCATAAAAGCTTTCCCAAACAATAATAAAATTTAGGTCACTGTTAAATTATATGGTTTTTTAATTTATTTTGAAGCCAAGGCATACTGATGAATCTAGTTTAATATTTATAGATTTCATTTTTACAAACGTTTAGCCGTTCCATAAATTTATAATTCATAATAGTTGTGATCTGGTCAATGTGGACAATTATATTTATTACGTTATGTTCATAAAAAGCAAGTAGATGTGAAAGTTGTGTTTTAGTAAAAGCACATTGCTTGAAGAAGCCTAGAAAAAACATAGTGAAAAAACTTCCATTACATTAATGCCAAAATAATTCAGATTTTTTATGCGGAACATTATTTGAGTTTATTTGTAATGAATTTGATAATAATTTTACTTTTCAAATATTCTCCTTGAACAATCGCAAGGCATTCAATGAATGGGCGACAAAAGGAGTCCAAAAGAGTAGGCAAAGGTTGTATGAACTTTACAACGAAAGGTCATATAATTCTGGTGTTGAATTTAGGGAAAATGTAAAAAAAGAAATATTTAAGAGTGTGCTTCTTAGTCAAATCTTCGTATTTGAGCAACAAAATAAAGACGGCTTCTAATAAAATTAAAATGACATAATTAATAGTGAAATTGGTATGGTCAACTCTGGCAATTCAAACTACCAGTAAAGGTTTAACTACAAATAAACAAAATCCGATTTTCTGATATTAACCACTATGTCACTGAATTCTTCTCCTGTCATCGCCAAATTAAGCAAAATGGTAAGGCGTGTACAAAGAATTCAGAAGTGTGCAGATCTGTGGGGGATTTCTGTTAAAGTTATTGCGTCCATAATATATACAATCGCACCTCAAGTATTCCATTATTTAATACTAGTATCAAAGTTGGTATTTTTACTGATTTAATAAAGCATAGTAAAGTATTCAAATCTGGTAATGCCAATGACCACGCCAATTTTAGACCTATTTCAGTACTGTCAACACTTAGTAAAATTTTTGAAAAATTTTTATTGATCAGATGTTAAATTTTTTTCACGTAAATAATTTACTACATTCTCTTAAAAATCAAGTCGGTTTTACAAGGGGTCGCTTGACAACTAATGCTAGTGGTGAGCTGATTAAATATATCTTCAATGCATTAGAATTCATAGGATGCTTTGGGTACATTCTATGACCTACCCAAAGCGTTCGATAGTGTTCACCATGAAATATTAATCATGAAACTTTAACAAAAAATGAAAATATAAGTGGTTTGGATGAATTATGTATGAAGGAGTTAGACTTGGAGAATGTATGGCAAAATGTAAAGAAAGGTTTAGTGGATGCAGCTACCGAAGTATGTGGTGTTAGTAAGAGAAAGAATGAAAGGAAAAATAATACGTTATGGTGGGATGATGAGCTACGTATGGAAGTTGAAGCAAAGAAGAGAGCATGGCTAGATTTACTAGCAACAGAGGCTGGTAATTCTAGCGGTACGAATGATGATATTGAAAGAAAAAGGGCAGTCTTTAGACATCTTAATAAGAGAGTAAAAGAAGTAGTTGAAAGAAAAAAGCAAGAAAGAACGGATAAGAATGATAGAAAGAATATCGGATAATTTTCAGGCAAATATTAAAATGTTCTAGAAACTTGTAAGAACTGCCAGGGGACATTTAAAACAGCCTATGATGAATGCTATAAGAGACGAGAATGGCTATATTCTGAATGATGAAGTTTTGAGTTTAAAGAGATGGAAGAAATATTTTGAAAGCGTATTTATGACTGAGGAGACAACGTGTGTACTAAGTGAAGTAGAAATTCCGAAAGAAGAGGAAACTGGTAGCGAGATAAGTATAGGTGAAATAATGAAAGCAATAAAAAGCATGAAAGCAGGTAAGGCTGCCAGATATGATAGAGTTTCACTCGAAATGCTAAGGGCTGGAGAGGAAGTGGTGGCAGGCTTGCTGTACACCCTGTTTTTTGTGCTGGGAACTGAAGCGGGTACCGGTGGACTGGTGCAAAGCCGTGATAGTCCAAGTATATAAAGTTTTTTACTGGAGGCCTACAGAGTGAATGGGATGTGCTATGGCAAACACTGAACTCATTTGGGTTGGGCGCTGGCTTGATACAGGCATTGGAGTCCCTTTATAGGGACTCTAGTGCTTGTGTTAGGATCAACGGGGTCTACTCGGACTGGTTTGACATCCATAAAGGTGTCAGACAGGGCTGTGTGGCTTCTCCGTGGCTGTTCAACCTATTTATGGACAGTTGTTTGCAAAATTTGAAAGTTGAAGAATGCGGATGAAGAATGGGTGAGTTAACGTCAAATGCCTTTTGTACGCCGATGATCAAGTTATCCTTGCGTCGTCGGCGGCCGAGTTGCAAATGATGGTTACATTAATGAACAGATCAGTAAAAGAAAGGGGTATGAAAGTGAACGCAAGTAAGATGAAGGTTATGGTTTTTGAAAGAGAAGAAAGTAAAACGATTTGTGAAATAAGAATAGAAGGGGAGTTGATCGAGCAAGTAGATGAGTTTGTATATTTGGGCTGCGTATTTAGCAGGGATGGGAGATATGATAAGGATGTAGAACGACGAGTGAATGCGGGAAATAGAGTAAATGGGGCCCTGCACTCTATTGTGAAGAGTCAAAATGTGTCGAAAAAGGCACGTATGGCAATTCACAATGCTGTGTTGGTCCCTACTTTAACGTATGGTAGTGAAAGTTGGGTGTGGCAGAAGAAGCACGAGAGTAGAATGAATGCAGTAGAAATGCGATCGTTAAGGAGTATGTTAGGGCTGAATCTTAATGACAGGGTAAGAAATTGTGTAATATGAGAAGAGTGTGGTTTGCTAGATGATGTTGTGACCAGGATTAAGAAAGGAATGCTTCGGTGGTTTGGTCATGTGGAAAGAATGAATGAGGAAAGAATGACAAAGAAAATTTATGTTGCAGAAGTGAATGGCAGAGTCGGAAAGGGACGACCAAATTGGCGATTTATTGAAAACGGGCCAAATTAGGAGTACCCTTAACCGACGAGCATATATGCGGAGGTGTATGGATATGAAGGAAGCGAGAGAGGTGTGTCAGGATCGTGCCAAATGGAAGTCTGTAGTCTCTGCCTACCCCTCTGGGTGACAGGCGTGAGTGTTTATGTATTATGCATGTTATGAAACTTTAACAGTACGATGTAAGAAGTGACGCTCTCAGATTATTTCATATTAAAGTTACAGAATGAAAAAAGTTGTCGTAAATAGTATGAGTTCTTCCGGGTCGATGGTACAAATGGGCGAGCTTCATGGCTCAATTCTCGGCCCCTTTTTGTTTCTGGTATATATTAATGAATTTCCTTACATTAAATAATGCTATATTTAAATTAGATCTTATACTAAATAATGCTATATCTAAATTAGTAAATTGGCTTAGTGCCAATAATTTGTATTTAAATGGCACTAAAATTAAATGTATTAAATTAGTCACTCCGGATATCAAACATGCAGTCTTGTTGATACAGCCATTTTTTTGAAATCATACTAGACGCAAAGTCTTAATGTGGTCACATATCAAAACTAGCAAGCAGGCTTAGGTCTGCAGCTTATGCTGTAAAAACAAGAAGTCTTAACAGTGTTGAAAGAGCGAGACTAGTTTAGCTCCTTTCATAGCATAATGTCATACGGAATTTTGCTATGGTGACAAACAACTGATACTGAAATTATATTTGTTTTACAGAAGATAATACAAAGGATGCAGAAGAGGATGCAGAAAAGGATAAAACGGATTGGTCTTAAGATGAACATGGATAAAACCAAAGGCATATGTAATCTCCATGTCACACCTATGCCGGTGGTTGTTGAGAGCACTAAACGCGGAGTTGTTGACGAGTATGTTTACCTGGAACAAGTTGTCCGACTAAATAAGTCCAACTTCGACCAAGAGGTCAATCGACGGATTCAACTCAGCTGGGCAGCGTTCGAGATATTGCGACACATTTTTTGTCAGGCATACCTCAACAACTTAAAACTAGATTGTACTACTAGTGAGTGTTGCCAATGACCTATGGATCAGATCCAAGGACCACGTTTCAGAAGACGTTGTCCTTCACTGTTGGCCGTATGAGGAAGCTCAAAGTAACTCAGCGAGCTATGGAGAGGTCTATGTTCGGAGTTTCTCTGCATAATAAACTTTGGAACGAGGATATTCGCAGTAGAACCAGAGTAACTGACATATCCCAACAGATTAGTAAATTGGAGTGGCGTTGGGCCTTCCATATTGCTCAAAGAACCGATAACCGATGGAGAAAAAATGTTCACGAGTGGCAGCCTCACACGCCGGTAGTCGTAGGCTGCTGAAGTAAAGTA